TTAGGATTGTCCTTTGTTGCAGGAGTTCCTCTTATCCAGTTTTCAGTTCTGTCTCAAGGGTAATTTTTCCATGAGTAGTTGTAAATTGGCTGTGTCTGCGGGAGGAGGTGAGTTCAGAGTCTGCCTACGCCACCATCTTCACTTCTTTCCTATAAAGTGTCTTCATGCGTGCATGTCTCTGGATTTCTTCTAGTTGGAGTTCATTAAGTGTCTTGAATTTATATTCCATTTCCTTCCTCAAATTTGGGACGTTGTCAGCCATTATTTCTTCAGATAAGCTCTATACCCCTTTCTCTCTCTCTCTTGTCCTTCTGGGACTCCCATAATGCATATATTGATCTTCTTGATAGTGTCCCATACGTCCCTTAAGCTTTCTTGACTTTTCTTCCTTCTTTTCTCTTTTTTGTTCCATTCACTCAAATTCCAAATGACCTGTCTTCAAGTTTGCCCACTCTTCCTTCTGCTTGATCAAGTTTGCTGTTGAACCCTTCTCATGAATTTTTCAATTCAGTTATTTTATTCTTTATCTCCAGAATTTGTTTGGTTCTTCTTTATAGTTTACATCTCTTTGCTGATATATTTTCATTTTGTTGCTGCATTGTTTTCCTGATTTTGTTTACTTTCTCTTTAGTTGACTGAGCATCTTTTACAGTTATTTTGAATTCTTTGTCAGGTAATTCATAGATCTACATTTTATTAGGGTTGGTTTCTGGAGATTTATGTTGTTCCTTTGAGTGGGCTGTTTCCTTGTTTCTTTGTATTCCTTGTGATCATTTGTTGAGATTTGAATATTTCAAAAAACAGCCACCTCCTCCAATCTTTACAGACTGTCTTTGTACAGGGGAAGACCTTCACCAATCAGTCAGGCTAGAAATTCTGGGAGCCTCTCAACATTTTCTGGGGATGTGCGTGTAAGTTCCAAGTTAAAGAGGTTTGCTCCTGTTCTCAAGAGCCCGTAATCTCTTGCTCCCCCTGCTGTCTGTCTGCAGTACAGCAGTGTCTCTGGTGCTGTAACAAGCCACAGGGCTCACCTTGTTCGTGGTGGTCCCCAACCTGGCATCCAAAGTAAGCTGCCAGCGTCTCTACCAGCGCGCTGAATCAAGAGACAGAAACTAGTCCCTCAAGTGGCCCCTGAAAAACCAGAACGCTGGACACATTCTACTCTTCTCTTTCTCGCTAAGGTAGAAGCTAAGAGTTGGGAGTTTTCTCCTGATCACACAATGCTGTGCCAGGGAGGGGGAAGGGCTATGGTGCGCAAATGCAATGAACCTTACCTGCTTCAATGCAGCTCTTCTTGGCTTTGTGCAAGCCTGTGGTACTGCAACCACTTAGCTGGTTTCTGGAGTTCTCAGAAAGGCAATTTAGTCTGTATATTGTTGTTAAGTTAGTGTCTCTGTGGGGGAATGAGGTCCAGGGGCTTCCTATTCCACCATCTTGCTGACATTATTATACTACTCCCAAATTATCCATAACTTTTGCCATCCAAAATGATATAACAGTTAGGTATGCCAAGTTGAATAAGATTATTACTTCCTGGGCTACAATGTAAATGCTCTAGTTACCTTTTTAATTCACTTTCAGCAGGTAAATTAATACTGCTAGTTGTGAACATTTGGCAATATGGGCTCCTCAAGGGCCAGGGTCATCTTTTTGCTACCCCTATTATCAAGCCCAATATCTCATAATAATGATAAGTATCATATAAAAGCTGCTTAATGAACATTCTAGTATGAGTTATGAATACTTGTCTAGAAGACAAAGGTCACTTTCATTGTCAAGGACTTTCTTCTTTTTTAAAGCGATTTGTGATCTGTACATATCCACCTAGATTCTGCTCGCTTAAGGAGCTAATACCAGGGCTCCAATATAACAGTGATCCTAAGTATTTTATTCTCTTTTTAAAAAAATTAACTTAAGTCCATATTTTATTCAGACTTCTTTAGTTTTTACCTAATGTGTTTTTTCTATTTCAGGATACCACATTATATTTAGTCATCATGACTCCTTAGGCTCCTGTTGGGTTGGAAAGGTTCTCAAATTTTCCTTATTTTTTAATGACCTTGACAGTTTTAAAGAGTATTGGTCAGGTATTTCGTAGAATGCTTCTCAGCTAAGATTCTTCTGATGTTTTTCCCATGATTAGACTGGGGTTATATCTCGGGGAGGAAGACTACAGAGGTAATGGGCCACTCTCATCACATCATATCAAGAGTGCATGCAACTGACTTCTCACTGCTGATGCTGACCTTGACCAGCTGGCCAAGGTAGTGTCTGTCTGTTTCTCCATGTAAAGTTACTCTTTTTCTCTCCTTTACATATTCACTCTTTGGAAGAAAGTCACTATGTGCAGGACATTATCTTTCTGAAAAAACTTAGCCTGTTATCTTGTAGAGTGCTCCACACTCTAGTTTGCTCAATTTTTTATGGTGTCATTTAATTTTGTTCCTTTTTCCCTGTATTTCCTGTAAATCTCAATTATATGGTTGACGCTGTGTACACCATGAGAGATGGCTCGTGATGTCAGATTGACCCATATTAGCAATCATTTGGTTAGGATGGTAACAGCAGAGATCTTCATTGTACAAGTACATTTTTTCTTTGCACTTAGTAAGAAACGTATCAGGCGTGCTTTGGCGTCTTGTTCTTTGTCCATGGACATCTATGCCATGAGAAACAATACACCAAGGTGATGGCTCCAAAGCTCCCCAATCCTCTTGCTCCCATCAGTAGTCATTCATCCATCTGTTCATTCAACAAACATCGACGGAAGGTCATTTTTACAGTCCTGCACTACTGTGCAAGGCACCTAAGCAGTGTTTAGCTGCTGGGGCTACAGAGGGGAAAGATGGGCTCTGTCCCTCAGGAGCACAGCCCTGTGCTACAGAGAGGCAATCACGAGTTTCAATAAAGTGTGATCAGTCTACACTGGTGATAAACACAGGTGCCTTCTTTGGCAATTTTCATTATAATTATTCACCATACTTTGTTCATATATTAAAGATTTTCAATAGAAAAATGTTCAAACAAAGTGAATTTATGATTTAAACTTCATTTAACTAGCTCCCTTAATCCCGAAACATTCTAGTTAATTGTAGTTGCCTCCATAGAAAGACTTGTGTGGTTACTGTAAAAACACAAAAATCTCTGGAGGGCAGCATGGCTTAGAGGAACAAATATAGACTTCAGAGCCCAAGAGGATTGAATTCAAATCTCCATCTTCCATTTAGTAGTCAGGTTACTAGCTCTGTGATCTAGCACAGATTATTTAACTTCTCTGAGCCATGGATTCCTATACATAAGCTAGAGAAAAACACCTACTTCCAAGGGTTTCCAGGACTAAGCAAAATAACATATAAAGTGCTTAGCAGAGTTCCCAAGCTCCTCGTATATATTTAATAAATGGTATTCATCTTAAGAAACAACAAAAACTACGAAGTATGCATATAAGACAATCAATTACTCTGATTTGGGCATTTTTCCATTAGCAATATAAATATGACATGAATAAAATAAAAACATGACAGTAGTATCATGACACTAGCATAGATAGAAGCTAATTCACATTTTTCATTAGAGTAAAAGAAGCTGATAAGTCTCAAACAAAAGTTTCCAAATTCCCACCATCCCTCCACCCTATAGGCCAGCCCTCCATACATGCCCTTATTTATGGCTACAGTATGGGGTGTGGTTAGAGGGTTGAGAGTCCACAGAACCAGTAACATATCTGGAATAGGGTTAAGTTTTAAAGGTATAAAGATGGGACCATAGAAATCTTAGAGGCAGGAACTCTCAGCAATAGGGTCTGTGCTCTAGACAGAACATACATCACCTTTCTGCTCAGCCAGCTCCCACAGGTCCTTAGCTGCTGCCCAAGACAGTGTCATGGGATATTCCACAAGGACATGCTTGCCAGCATTAAGGAACTGCCTTTGGAAAAAAAAGATAAATACAGAAAAAATCACTTCAAATAAGCCTCACTAAAATGCCCTGCAAGACAGAGAAGAGAATGTTATAAATTCACAAAAGTCTCTGTGTGTATACATGTGATGAAGGAACACACGTGAGAGTCAGGGCCAGAGGATAGGGAGGATGAATTGTACCTCACACTGGTTTCACTACGCTGTACGAGAACGACTTCCTAGTTATGTGCTAATTTGAACATTCAACCATTCATCCAGTCACATATTCAATAGGCACTATTTACCAGCTATTCCAGAGAAGAAATAAAGACACATTAACAGGTAAATTGCATGTTACCACGTAATAGCTATAAATAAAGACTACAAATCCCATGGCAGCTGGCTCTGCCTGAGGCAGTCTAAAAAGAATTCACTAATGACACCTGAACTGGGCCTTGAAGGATGAGCAGGCATTTTCCAGGTGCAACAGGATAAGGGTATTTCACTTTGAGCAGCACATGCACGTGCCTGGGCATTTTATGGGGCTTTGTCCATTGGGGTAATGGTGCAAATTTTAGCATGGCAGGGGAGTGGACTACAGGGAGTTAGAGGGAAACAAAGTCCTAAAAGTAGCCGGGAGCCTGACTGTGAAGGACCTAGAATGCTATCCTCAGAAGATTGAACTTTATTCTCTAGATATTCTAGGGTACAAACATTTATAAGCATGAGAATTACATGATCACTCTTTTAAGGAAACACATGCTGGTGCCAAAGAAGATTAAGGGCAACCAAGGAAAGGTGTTTCTTTCCACGCTAGAGTTGGAGTGATGAAGAGGGAGCAGCTTACTCTGGGGAACAGCATGGCGGCGGCAGCTGTGGTTTAATGTGAGAACCTAGAAGGGAAGCTGAGACTCAGGGAGGCGGCTGGCAGCACCTTGTGAGCTGCCAGGTCCTGGGTAGGGCTCCTCCTTCCAGGCTCACTCCCACCAAAGGCTTGAAGGGCTCCAGGCTTTGCATTCAAAGGTGGGGCAAGGGGACGCATCATTTCTCCTCTTGCTCTACAAACAATGTCACCTCCCGTCTTTGAGGCCACCACTACTTCCTTACTCAAGGCAAAACCACTTCATATTAAAGGAGCTCTCAGAGATATTAAATGATGTTGAAAGCACAAAGGATAAAATGTTGGAAGCTGATCCATTCACTCATAAGTAGAAGATAAAAACAATAACAAACAAACACATAGAGACAGAGATTGGATTGGTGGTTACCAGAGGGGAAGGGGAGAAGGAGGAGGGTGAAAAGGATGATTAGGCACATGTGTGTGGTGATGGGTTGTAATTAGTATTTGGGTGGTAAACATGATGTAATCTATGCAGAAACAGAAGCATAATGATGTACACCTGAAATTTATACAATTTTATAAACCAATGTTACCTCAACAAAAAAAATAAATTAACAAGAAAAAAAGAAACTGATCCAAACTTAGAAAGGACTATGACAATTCACCAAGGCAGAGGAAAGATGTGGGCTCCGTATCCTAAGTTATATGATGAGAAAAGGCAAGCACCATTCAAACTACTCTCAATAAATTTTTTACAAAGAAATAAAAACACTTTAATTCTTAATGTTTTAAATTACAGTGTACTACATAAATATATTAGTTTTACTAAATATAAAATAATTTATATTTTTCATTTCCTTATACATGTATAACCAATAGTTAAGATTTTTAACGTTTTGACAAAAATTTTTAAAGGTCATGGATCCATTGTAATTTTCCCCATTGATTATTAAGACCCCTTTGCAAGATTTCAGCTTGCTCAGTCATTTTTCTAGTCCTGCACTACTGTGCAAGGCAAGGATTGCCTGCACTAAAAACCCACCTGATATAGTCCTCATGGCTGGAGCTCTCACTGCAGATGTAAGCAACCTCAACCTCTTGGCTGGAAAGAGCATCTTCCAAAGAAATCTGCTGGACTTCGTCAATGTGCCCGAGTTCTCGTCTACTTGAGAATAATAGGGAAATGGAACTCAAAAGTAGGCAGAATATTGAATCATTTATTATACCCTTCCTCCCAATAGCTTTTGGAAATGAAGAAATTAATTTCCTCCCTTCCACTTCCAGGGCATTTTCCATCACGGAATGAGAAAAACGACATCAGGGTTGAAGTCAGGGGACCTGGCATTCAGTGCCAACACCACAACTAACAGCCTGTGTGACATGGGAGTCTCTGAATTACATCGTCTCCAACATAAAAAGAACTGATCTCCTTTTATCTCATGAGAAGTGATCTCTATGGTCACTGCCAGCTCCGAGCACTTGGCCAAACACTATGAGTCCCAAACTGAATCCAAATCCAGTACACTAATACCTCTGAGGTGCAAAGTGTTGTGCGAATTCAAGCTCCTTCACATACATCAGGGTTTCGTGACGGTCGAGTGGAAGGTGGGTGTCACTGCCTCCTTGACAGCTGAGCTGACAAAGCCCAGAGAAGCAGTGGCTGCCACAGCTGACCAACAGCAGAAGCAGGACAGGAATCCTAAGCCTTCTGACTCTTACAGAGTAAGAAGGAGCTCCTGCTTGAGAAAAGCTGAGAGCCCTGGCATCTGCACAGCACCTTACTGCAGGGGCTAGAGCAGGGGAGCCTCCTCCAGTGGTGGCTGCCACAGAGGGAACGGGGCCCTCAGCCAGCTCAGAGATCCACCCAAACGGCAGCAGGCAGAGGGCATGTGGGGAAGTTCAGCTGTCAAAGGGTATTATGGGAGGTTTCCTTCTATGGGGGCCACCCAGTCTATATCGCTCAATTTGACCAATACTAATTGTTTGCCTGCTGTGTGCTAGGCACTGTAAGGAAGACGGTAGAGAATGAATTAAAAGTCCTCAGCTCCCAATGAGCTCACAGTCTGGTAGAGGGAGGAAGACACACAGACACATATCTAACAATACAAGACTACCATGAGAAATGTTGTGCCAGGGGTAGAGGTAGGAGATTCAGGGAAGGCAAGGAACACGTAGTTTAGGGTTTCAGGGAAGGCCTCCTGGGAGGCAATAGGACTTGGCAGGCTGGTCATGAAGAACAGGGTGTGTGAGAAGGGGAACACTGTGATAATGGCGGGGTGCAGTAGAGCAGGGCATATGAGCTGGCCTTCTTCCCTCATGACCCGGGTAGTTGAGGAGTTCCCGCTGCGTCCGTCACAGCAGCCAGCTGGCAGAGGACTGGGGCTTAAGGGAAAAGGAGAGGCCCCGCTTCAGCCTCGAGCCAGTGTCGTGCTTGATCCAGCTTCAGGCAGGGGGCAATGGGAGTTACAGTGCTGGCTAATAATAATTTTGATCTTCCATTTGTGTGCAGCTCCCTCAAAGTCTTACTGGGAGGGGAAGATTGACTGAGGACAGATTCCCAGCACTTCTGGGTCTCCCTAGCACCCTGAAGTCCACTTTAAATCCTTAAAGGAAGGGCCAGGTTTCGAGACAGGCAAATTGGAAGAAAGCAGGTCCCATGAATTTTAACACATGAAGAAACTCCCGCACGGAGCGTCACAACAGTTACTTACGCTTTGTGTAAGTACTGATTCGATTTCTCTAAAGCACTAGAAGGCAGAGATGTGCCCAACTTGCTCCCCGCCACATCTCAGCCAACACAGTGCCTATGTCTAGTTCACAATTAGTACTGATGAATGATGTTACATATAGTTTAGCGAGCAGTGTGTGTGTGAGGAGTGGAGGAAGGAGAAACATGGTGATAGTTCAGTTTGGGTTGAGTCATAGGAGATAAATGAATCCCTAAAGAAAAGCGGAGCTCAACATTATCAAAGGGAAAAGAACACACGGTGTTTAAAAGATGGTCTTTGGGGGCCGGCCCCGTGGCTTGGTGGTTAAGTGCGTGCGCTCTGATGCTGGTGGCCCGGGTTCGGATCCCGGGCGCGCACCGAGGCACCACTTCTCCGTCCATCCTGAGGCCGAGTCCCACATACAGCAACTAGAAGGATGTGCAGCTATGACATACAGCTATCTACTGGGGCTTTGGGGGGAAAAGATAAATAAATAAAATCTTTAAAAAAAAAAAAAAAAAAGATGGTCTTTGGAATCAAATAGACCTTGTTCAAATCCAGTTCTTAAGACTTTCCAGCTGTGTGACCTCAGGCAAATTACTTAACCTCTCTGTGGCTCAGCTTCTTCACCTGTAAACTGGTGTTGATAATGGAATCTATGTCAAATAGTTGGTAAGCCTGGTAAGGCCCAGGGCCACTGCATGGATGGCTGTTATGATAACCGATGTAACAACTAACTGGTGCACACTTTGAGCCTTCTCTCAGGCCAGCCACCATGTGTTCGCTGCGCCCCTTCTGTAACTGTCAGGTCCTGTGTTCATCTTCCCTGGCTTTGCCTTGCAGTCCGCTCTAGGCTGACTCGCTACACATCCCAGCTGCAGACCCAGCACTCCTCAGTTCCCAGACCCATCTGAACTTGAGATCTTGTGGGGCTGATCCTGAGCAGCTCTCTGAATGACCCTGGGGAATCTCCGTGTCCAGAGGCCTAGTCCATCACACTGGGCTTCCCATGAACTACAAGGCACAAAACAAATGCGAGGCACCTGGACACGAAGCCAATCAGGTTCAGGAAGGCCGAGGAGGCATGTGGATTCCGCAGGTCCCTTATCCGCACAAAGCCGGCTCTGCCCACGCCAACCACCACCACGCCAAACTTCCTCTCGGGCTGAAACACAAGGGACCAAAGTGGGGTATGAAAACGTCCCGGTATCCAGCAGAGAACAGCGAAACAAAGATGTTTCGGCAGAACCAGTCAGGGTCCGACAAGCTAGGAAAGGAGCCAACCCGGAACCCACTGGAAGCCGCAGGATGTGAGGGTGAGAGGAGACACTCCCTGAAACGCGGCTTGGAGAGAAGTCAGCTCCGCCCAAAACATATTCCTACAGCGGCCCTGACTGTGTCACCCATGGAAAAGGCTCCTTGCATTTGGCTCTCCACTTCTACTGCCACCTCTCCCATGACGAGAGAGTTCCTCTTTTTTTTTTTTTGGTGAGGAAGATCGGCCCTGAGCTAACATCTGCCAATCCTCCTCTTTTTGCTGAGGAAGACTGGCCCTGGGCTAACATCCCTGCTCATCTTCCTCCACTTTATATGGGACGCCACCACAGCATGGCTTGACAAGCGGTGCGTCAGTGCACGCCTGGGATCCGAACCAGCGAACCCCGGGCCACCGTAGCGGAGCGCGCGCACTTAACTGCTTGCACCACCAGGCCAGCCCTGAGATATTTCCTCTTTAAGCCATATCCAGCCCCTGGTCTGGTACCCGGTCCTCCCTGGACCCCTCCTCCAGTGGACATGCGACTCTCATAGAGCTGGGAGTCTTCAGAGGCCACAGCTGCTCAGTGAGATGCTGGCAGAACAGCAAATGGGCAACCATGAGCTGTCACCTACTCAGGCTCCTCACTGTGGCTTTCCAGCCAACTTCACTCCCACTCTCCCGTGGTAGTTCACGGAGTATTGAGGTACACTGCTGGCACTGGAGGGAAAAATCAAGTTAATCTTTTAAAGCTATACAGCAACTGACTATAATACAAACTGATAAGAATTATCTCTACACATCCCTTAAACCCGGTTCCTGGATGTCTCTGAGCATAGACTCTCACCTTTGCTTCACCTCTGCTATCTGGTCATCGCCATTTCCCACTGATCCTGCCCCTCTTCCTGTGTCTACTGCTCTCGTCTTGGCCCAGGACTTCCTCGCCTCCTGTCTGACGATGTAATAAATAACCAACTAGTCTCACGGCTTCTAATCTCACCCTGCCCACGGGGGTCCACACGCCTGCTGGACCAGGTGCTTAAGAGGAGAACTGACTAAGTCCCTCCCTCCCCTGTTAAAGCCACCATTTTCCCAACTGTTATGGACTGAATGTTTGGGTCCCCCCAGAACTCACACTGAACGAACTGAAGGTTGAAACCCTTTCCCACAATATGACAGTATTAGGAGGTGGGGCCTTTGGGAGGTGATCAGGATTAGACGAGGTCACGAGGTAGGAGCACTCACGAAGGGGGTTAGTGTCCCATAAGAGTCACAAGAGCCTGCTTCCTCTCTCCCCTCCGCCTGCGTGAGGACACAGTGAGAAGTCAGCTGTCTGAAACCCAGAAGAGGGCTCCACCAGGACCCGACCACACTGGCGGCCTGATCTCGGACTTCCAGACTCCATAACTGTCAGAAACAAATTTCTGTTGTTTACAAGCCACCCGTCTGTGGTAGTTCCTTACAGCAGCTCAAACTGACTAAGATTCCAACTAAAAAAGAAAAACATCCAAGTGCAAGTTCTTGACCAAACATATGAGGCCTTCCACGACTTGGCTCCTGCCCGCTTCTCCAGCATTACTGAGGGGTTTCCTGGAAGCCAAGAAGTCTGGAAAGTGTCTCCAGCCTTGGCTCACACCAGCCTTGACTGGCATATCTGACTGCAGCTGGGCCCTGGGAGGAACAGCCCTCTGTCTTCAGTCTTCCAAGACTCCTGAGAGTGCCCCTAACTGGCCACTTCACACCTAAAAGAGAGCTCTGGGAAGGGTATTTCCAGGCGTCTCTTCTGAGTCCGGGACAGTGTGGGAAGGAGGGCCACAAGGCCCAAGTGACAACAGGCAATTCAGCCCACTTAGTACCTTTTGAGTGACAAGGATAGTTTTTTATTTTTATTTTTTGACAGTCTCATGTACCAAAAAGCAATAAGATAGTCATTAGAGAAATCTGTACAGCCAAAACACACATCCCTGATCAAATATTTGTTTGTTCTTTAACCAAGAAAAGGAGACAAGCAATCTCCTTATTAGGTTAAATAGTCACTGCATTTCTAAGATTAACTATTGAACTGCTACATTCCAGATAACAACCAGGAACATAAGCTTCTAGCTTCAAAAGAGCCACAAGGTTAAGAAACAGCTCCATTATCTGTAATAAGCCAAACTGCTTTTTTCCATTTCGGTAGTTGATACAAACTTGCATATAAAACCTGGTTCACACAGTGTCAGACTGAATGATGAAGTGCTTTCGAGTTTGGTTTAGACAACATTCCCTTGCAAAACTGACACACAGGGACAAACTATGGGTGGAAACACTGATATCTTAACAGTTGAGTTTCTATTCAACTGGGAAATAGCTTTATTTTTGAGGAAAAGGACTTGCTACACCATTTTTCCTGAGCCTCTCTACATTTTACATGAGACCTCTTCAGCATGTTCTGAAAGGAAACTGCAATTCAAAGAGATGAGGACTTCTGGTTTTTCATTCTACACGTAAGGAGCCATCCTAACAATAAGTAAAAACCTAACAGACTGAAAAATCAACAACTCTTCCAGAATCCTTGAGAGGTGAGGACACAGGGCAAAGTGCTGCCCCAAGACTGGAGAGACAGAGAATACAGAGAATAACAACTTACTGGAAAGAAGACTCATGAGCGAAAACCACCTCAAGAACCAGTGCCGCAGTGAGAAAGCCTGAACCGTAACTGATGAACTGCTGGGGGTTCAGTGTGGACAATTCTGAGAGTTCAACACTCCAGGGACCCAGTCACGGGGCTGGGAGGGGATCCCTCAATTCTGTGAGATTTACCTCCAGGAGCTTGACCAGTTCCCACAGTAAATATTGGAGAAATTTCCCCTCTTGCTTCCAGCAAGGGGAGAGGGAAAAGAGTCCTTGTGAAATATGCCAGAAATGTTCTTAACAAGGCCTGCCCTCAGGGGAAACTAGTTAACTAGAGCCTAACCTGCTGGAGTATTATCAGAGCCTAACTGACCTCAGAGAAAGGAAATACCCAACTCTAGCCCACTCTCGCCATCCTCTCCCACCTAAGGATGGGGGAAAAAAACCAAAAAAAAAAAAAAACACTTGTGAAGTTCATAATCCAGAGGCACAGGCTCACTGAGAGAGGGAGACCTAATCACTGGACTACAGAACGCTTCCCCTCTCCTACACCGCACACCACATCACTAATGGCCTATTTACAGCAGTTCCTTTTACACAGTACCTCATGTCTGCCTATTAAGAAAAATGACAAGACATACCAAAAGGCAAAAAAAACAGAATTTGAAGAGACAGAGCAAGCATCAGAACCAGACATGGCAGGGATGTTGGAATTACCAGACTCGGAATTGAAAACAACTATGATTAATATGCTAAGGGTCTAACGGATAAAGCAGACAGCATGCAAGAACAGATGGGCAATGTAAGCAGAGAGATGGAATCCTAAGAAAGAACCAAAAAGAAATGCTATAGATCAGAAACATGTAACAGAAATGAACAAAATCTTTCATGGACTTATTAGTAGACTGGACACAGCTGAGGAAAGAATCTTGGAGCTTGACGATACCTCCAAAACTGAAAAGCAAAGAGAACAAAGACCGAAAAAAACAGAACAGAATATCCAAGGACTGTGGGACAACTACAAAAGATGTAATGTATGTAATGGGAATGCCAGAAGGAGAAGAAAGAGAGAAAAGAACAGAAGAAATATTTGAAATGATAATGACTGAGAATTTCCCCAAATTAATGTCAGACACCAAACCACAGGTCCAGGAAGTTCAGAGAACACCAAGCAGAATAAATGCCCCCAGACAACGATACGTAGGCCTACGTTTTTCAAATTACAGAAAATTAAAGATAAAGGAAAACATCCTGAAGGAAGTCAGAGGAAAAAACACCTTACCTATAGAGGAACCAAAATAAGAATTACATCCTACTTCTCCGCAGAAACCACACAAGCAAGAAGAGAAATGTGAAACTGATGACAACAGTGAATCCACTTTGTACCCTGGACCCCATCTTGTTAAAAATATGAAACTGTGCTGACCTTGCTGACTTGCCAAAACGGAGTTATTTGCTGAGAAAAGACTTTCTGAAGGACTGTGCAAAAATATACTTTTTCTGCAAGCAACAAGATGTCCTTGAGTAACCAATAAACTGTGACATAAATTGACCCTCCCTAACAAACAACTGAGTAAATGCTCTGGGCTCTCCTTTTTGCTGATAAAAACTCCTAACCTTCACTCCTCAGGGGGACACTTGCCTGGCTGCTGCTGAAGCCTGTGTTCCCTGAATTGCAATTCTAAGACCCCCCAAACAAACGCTCTTTTTTTGTTTTGCAGTTGCCTCTTTTTTCTAAGTTGACAGATTTAAAGTGTTGAGAGAAAAAAACTGCCAACCTAGAATTCTACACCCTGCGAACTTATCCTTCAAAAGTGAAGGAGAACTAGAGTTCTCAGACAAACAAAAACCTGAGAGAATTTGTTGCCAGGAGACATGCCCTGCAAGAAATGTTAAAATAATTTCTTTAGAGAGAAGGAAAATAATATAGGTCAGGAAATCAGATCTATATAAAGGAAGGAGGAGCGTCAAGGAAGGATTGAGTGAGGGTAACATAAAAACTTTACTTTTCTTACACTTAATTGATCTAACAGATAACAATTTGTTCAAAATAATAACAGCAAAGTACTCAATTATGCAATATTATGTATATATCTTATGTATGTATTTATATGCTTATGTATGCTTATAAGTGAAATAAATGACAGCGATGATACAAAGGACAAGAGGAAGGAATAGGATTATTTTGTTATTTTATGGTACTCATACTACCTGTGAAGTGGTATAGTTGTTATTTGAAAGTGGACTTGGATTAGCTATAAATGTATATTGCAAACTCTAGGGCAACCACTAAAAAA